GACCCTAGTGACCCTAGTGACCCTAGTGACCCTAGTGACCCTAGTGACCCTAGTGACCCTAGTGACCCTAGTGACCCTAGTGACCCTAGTGACCCTAGTGTAGTGGCCCTGGTGACCGTTACAAGTCACGAACTCGAATGGCACGGACCTGCTGCAGCTGCTCTGCAGGCCACTCGGCTCCCTCAGGCAGGGCGTGGCGCAAGTACCTGGCATTGATCGAAAACAAGAAGAAATGTGAAGAAAATTTGCAAAATTGTGCAAATATCGAGCAGTGCAGTGTGTTGGTACCTGGCAGTGTGCAATTTTGGGTTGATCTGCCTTGATCTTGGGTTGATTGGCGGTGTAGAATTGTACAGAAGTCATTAAAGAGCCCTGGGATACTCCTCAAAGGGCTACTCCTAAAAGTTGTTATCCGTGCAAAATAAAATCTGAAAAATTCTCAGAAATTCAAAAAAATATCAAAAAACAACTGGAAAAAACAATCCACGCATTCCAAAACGAATTCAAAAAAATTAAAAAACAGAAAAAAGACGGAACAAATCCCACAAAAAAAAATAAAACAAGTTCAAAAAAAAACGAAAAAGTTTGAAATAAACATTCGAAAAAAATCAAAATAAAAATTCAAAAAAGTTCAAAAAAATCAGAAAAAACAACAAACAATCAAAATAAAAATTCAAAAAAGTTCAAAAAACAGAAAAGTTCAACAAACAATCAAAAAGGAAATTCAAAAAAGTTCAAAAAAAGAAAAAAAGAAAAAAATCGAATATAAAAAAAAGAAAAACAAAAAAAAAAACAGAAAAAACTTTTTTTTAAAAAAAAAACTATATTAAAAAAAACACAAAAAACAAAAAATAACAACAAAAACACAAATCGAAAAATAAAAAATAACGACAAATCTTGAAATCATCATTTGAAAAAACCTTAAAGAAACATGAACGAAAAAGTATTTTTTGGAATGAAAAATAGTTATTTGATGTTATTTGATGTTATTTGGAATGAAATTGCATTATTTGGGATGAAATTGAAATAATTCGAATTAAAATTAATAAAAAGGAATGTTCCAGGAGTGTCCCTATGAGGAATGTCCCTCTCCATAGAGAAGAAGATTATAGAACTAATTCTTACTCGTTTAGGCTATGGCCTCAGGAACCGCAACGTGCAGGCCTTGGAGCAACGAAGAGCTTTGAAGCCAACAGACGTAACGGAGATCTGCTATCTGTAAAAATGTGCTAAGATACTAAGACAATCTAAGACATACCATGCAACAAAATGCAATGGAACATTTATAACATGCGAGAGTCTTGTGTGAACACCAAACGACAAAGGGCTAGGAAGCTTCAGCTGTTAGAGACGCTTGCGGACCCCAAACGACCTTCACTTGGAAGTGTGGAAGATTCTAGAACCTTTTCTTGCAACCTGTCTCTGCTCAAGCCTTTTCGATCTTTTAGAGCTCATTGAAGGTATGCATGAACTCCCACACTGAGCACAGGGCGACAGAAGCAGCACCACCCCAAACTAACAGCTTGTCTGCAGACCTGGATACGTTATGATACTTTGGCAAACTAAGCTGTACAGAGTGTACAGAGTGTACAGAGTGTACAGACTGTACACTTGCAATTTGTTGAACTTGTTGAACTTGTCGAACTTGTGGAACATGATATATCAAATTGTTGAATTCGTAGAAATTGCTCTCTGCTTTGTGACTGGCGGTACAAAGGGAGCAGTGGACTCCGTAGACTCGTGAAGGTTTTTCAACGGTTTTTCAACGGTTCATGGCTTTTCCACTTTCAATTGGAAAGCAGGAAATCCAGTGGCACTGCGACACTCACATTTTTTCCTCTACAAAGCGAGGCGCGATTCTCAGACTGAATAATTTCTTTGTTTCAAGCCATTCCAGTCACATTGTCAAACATCTAATGGCTCTTGCAATGTCTGATGAGTCTGATGAGTCTGATGAGTCTTGTCCTCTGCCACCTACTGCCCGGTGCTGCACTTGTGCAAGCTAGGACCCGCAACAGGTCTAATCGAAATCTATGAAAATCTGACGTTGCACAAAAATGACACATGTTATGGCTGCAGTATGGCATGCAAACATACGACAACGTGTGCTCTTGACATTTCTTGGCTCTTGATGACTCTTGCGGGTCGATGCCAAGTGAAGCATGTGAAACAAAGCTCGTCCAAGCCAGGCTTAGACCAAGCTGGTCTCCTCCGCACCCAATCCACTCGGATCCACCTCAGTTTCAGCTGGCACATGCTGGCACGAAGGAGTTGGTCAATCGGCAAATTCATGTCCAAAAGTGTTTAAAACGTACATTATCCTACGTTGTTCTACGGTTCTACTTTTTCAACTCCGGAAAGAAAGACTAGGTAGGACGGCAGCACGAAGGCAGAAAAGTTGTGTTAGGTTCGGCGGATACAAATTTGATGCATTTATATGCATGTGCTCTGGCAGCAGTGATGTGCATGCCGAGAAAACATGAGAAAACAATGTAGCAGGACAACATGAAAGCAACTTGATGGAATTGAGATCGGTTGTCAGCTCTGCTGCCCAGTTAGTCTCTGTTCACAACAGTACTCATCATTCCTAAACGTTTGGCCACGTTCCCTTAAATGCAGGTGGGCCACGTAAACTTTGAACCGTACTCTCTGACCTTCTGAAAGTTCTTCCAGACCTGCTAATTGGAGGCTATTCATGGCTGCGTTATCCGGGCTAGATGCAAAAGGGCATGAAAATCACTATTAAAGACGCATGCGTCGGGCAGGATTGGCCATGTTTACCCTCTGGTTTTCCCAAACATATTGAGATTCTATGCATGTAGATAGAGTGTCTGCTTTGCATTTACTATGGGGTGTTGATTGACTTCTTCAGAAAGAGAAAATTGTCTAGCCTGCCAAACAAGCAGTATTTTACATAAATACTCTGTGTAGTTGAATGTGTGCAAATATCTATACGTATATAGCATAGCCTGGCCTGACAGGTCCTTCAGAGAGACCCAAACTTTCCCGTCTGGCCGGCAGCTGAGGAAGGACTCTTTGGGCAATGCAAACTCTCACTGCATTTCTACATTGGCTTCGTTGCTGGTTTTTACCCCATGGCATGGTGTCTGTCTGTGCCTACTGTTGGCAAATTCTGACTGCCTCTCCAAGTAGAGAATTCGTGGTCCACAGGTGCATCAGGCTTTATCCATCCAAATTTGCCTTTCCTTTGCAACACACAAGCGGCCGAGTCAGTCAACCTACAAATCAAAGAATTCTGCTTGTCTTCATGAGCCGTGCGTTCAATTGTTATCAAATAAGGCCGCATCCATTCGAGCACGGTTCCCGTCACAAAATCCGATGTCACCTGTTCTCTGAACATCACTTCACCACCCTCTTGTAGGAAGGTCTGCATCATCTGCATCATCTGTCCCTTAATCAAGCAAACAGATCAAGGGTCAGCAACGCCAATGTGCCAATTATACTGCCAGTTTTTTTGAGGAGAGACGTACTATATGTAGATTATAGATGTTGAGTACAGAGATGCTGATTAATTAGTCATGATCAACCCTTGGTCGCACGATGTTTCAAGTCTTACCTGCTTCGAAGTATCTGCATCTCACTTTGCAACAAAGACACCCAATATCCTTTGTTGCCGCCGCCGCCACCACCGCTGGTCTTTTGACCTTTGCCACCTGGCTTTCCTGGTCTGTGGGCCTGCAGAGGAGGAATTGAGATGTGGTGCCGCATCAACGAATCCTTCCAGAGAACACCAACTAAATCCTGAACGAAAATTCAAAATATTGTTTCATATTGTTTCTAATTTTTTCTGGCATAAATTGCAGTCCTTTTCCATCAGCTCGGCATCTTCTTTGATGTCCTTCCACACGCTCAAACAAGATCTATATAGCAGCTAGCAGATCCAAAAACTCCAATTGATCACATACTGTACTGATGTACACGGAAGCACTTTCGCAGCACGTTTACTGATGTTGGTCCATTGGTTGGTCCTTCAAAGCTTGCTCAGCTGCGCTCCTGAGACGAAAATTCTGAAAAGCTGGCAACTCCAGATGCAAAAAAACACGGATGCGTGTCAAGCTGTGGAGAAAGCAGTGTCCTGAAAAATCAAACATGGTGAAGCATCGAAGGTATCAAACTCTTTTGATGAAACCAGCCACCAAGTGGTCGCAGATCCAAGCAGCCCTCTAAATGCGTCTAAATCTTCTAAGTCACTGTTCGGCTTGTTGTCGTGTGGGGCACAACTCGCCAGCCCAAGCTCGTGATGCCCACTCATCAGGAAGTGCTGCGCTCTGCACCGTCGCCTTGCCCGGGCTTGAGTCAAAGTTGTTGCCAGTCCCAACCAGGTTGACTTGTCAAGTCTGTTATGGATGGACTGGTTTAGAAAAGTTCAGAAGTTTAGCACTTGTGCGTTTATATACACTTGGACTCATTTGGACCTTCTATTTTGGTCACATGAATTATTTTAGCGTGCATTGGATAACCCCCCGGCTGGGTTCCTGGAATGAAGCAAGCGATCCATTTTTTTGGAAACTGGCAAACTCTGAAGGACAAACTTGTGGATTCTACAGACATAGTGCAGCAATTTAAGATGCAATTCAACGGTCTACCAACCCACCCTTTCTAAAAACCACATACAGTCATGGATCCTATGAAGATTGCACACACTATCCATATAACAAGTATATTAAGTATATAAATCATGTCATGGCTCCATGACAGATTGCCACGGAGAGATGCCTCATGCCCAAAGTACAATTCATTCCAACACAACCGTCTCAAATTGTGGACCATGGGCCCTGGACCCAACTGGTGTTTGCAAACGTGCTAAGATGCGAGATCAGACATTGCATCATTGTGTGATACGTAGAACCGCTTTGTTCGAATTGGTAGCAATCCTGCCTGATAAAGGCTTCCAATCCTCAGGTTCATAGGCTCACGTTGGGAATCAACAAAACACACGTTGAACTACAGCGATGTAAACTTGGACAAGAGGTAGAACATCGCAAATTTTCATATTGTCGTCCCATAAAGTTGACTCAGAAGGTAGGTTGTCTTATGATGAATAGCATCAAAGTGTTCTGAGGAATGCAGCTACCAAGGCTCTTGTTGGCCACGTACAAAGTTTCACCCTTCTGTAGAACCTCAAACTGAGACAGTGTCAAAACCAAAAGAAAATTGGGATCTTGAACATCTAAAAAGTATGTTATATTATATACAGTATATATTGTGTAATTCGTATGGTGATGTATAGCCACAATATGCGATAATGACTTTCTGTGTCAGCCGACGCCAATATTCCGACACGGACTGCTAACCTTTCTGATTCGTCTTCATTCCAGACTGTGCAACTCAGCTGTTGGTCACCTATTGCCAAAAGTTCTTCTCCATAAAGAAAGAAACATAATGCATATATAATCAAAGGAAATTTAGTTAGGAAACTTCCGAATTACGAACGATGGCTAGCTTTCTCACCATTATGGCAACCACATCATCACCTCAATCACCACATCATCACGCAAGTAGTTGGGAAGTGTGAGAGGTCGGGAACGCGTGAATTCAAGCTTGAAAACACTGTCGGGCGCAAAATCCTGTATTTTTTTCGGGTAAAGTGGCTGCCGTGGTCGCTGAAGGAAGGTCTCTGTTTCCGCGGTTTCGCAGCTCGATGGGGGAAATTGGTCAACAAAAAGTGCGCATGACTCTGTAGCGAGAGCTCGATTTCACATAAAATCGTAAAAAACTGTCGGGTCCGGAGCACTTTTGGAAGATGAGGTCTTGAAAAGGCGCACGAGACTGTAGCGAAAGCTCGATTTCCACTTGAGACCGTTAAAAAATTGAAGGGCTCGGAGCACTTTTGGAAGATGAGGTCGGCAAAAGCCGCACAAGACTGTAGCGAGAGCCCAATTTCATGACAACCACATCATCATCATCATCATCATCATCAAGAAGTAGCTGATCACATGACATTGTAACAAAACTGAAGGGACCGGAGCACTTTTGGAAGATGAGGTCGGCAAAAGGCGCACAAGACTGTAGCGAGAGCCAATTTCATATGTCAACCACATCATTGAAGTAGTTGATCACATAAAATGGTTTTAAAAAAAATGTCAGGGCCGGAGCACTTTTGGGCGATGAGGTCGGTAAAAGGTGCGCGAGACTGTAGCGAGCTCGATTTCACAAGCAGTCATTCATTCCGTCCATCTATTCGTTCCTTCCTTCCTTCATTCCTTCTTTCATTCAGTCACTCATTCAGAGCAAAACCCGTACGCAACTCGTTCAATCCGTGCAGATGCAAGCGCCTCATTTTCTTGGCACCGTTCATTCATTCATTCCATTCCATTCCATTTCGTTTCCATTTCATTTCCATTCATTCATTCATTCATTCATTTCATTTCATTTCATTTCATTCATTTCATTTCATTTCATTTCCTTTCCTTTCCTTTCATTTCATTTCATTTCATTCATTTCATTCATTTCATTCATTCATTCTTTCATTCATTCTTTCATTCATTTCATTCATTTCATTCATTTCATTCATTTCATTCATTTCATTCATTTCATTCATTTCATTCATTTCATTCATTTCATTCATTTCATTCATTTCATTCATTTCATTCATTCCATTCATTCCATTCATTCCTTCATTCCTTCATTCATTCATTCATTCATTCAATTCATTCATTCCATTCCATTCCATTTCATTTCCATTTCATTTCCATTTCATTTCCATTCATTCATTCATTCATTCATTCATTTCATTTCATTTCCTTTCCTTTCCTTTCCTTTCCTTTCATTTCATTTCATTCATTCATTCATTCATTCATTCATTCATCATTTCATTTCATTTCATTTTATTTCATTTCATTTCATTTCATTTCATTTCATTTCATTCATTTCATTTCATTTCATTTCCTTTCCTTTCCTTTCCTTTCATTTCATTCAATTCATTCATTCATTCATTCATTCCATTCATTCATTCATTCATTCATTCATTCATCCGTTCATTCATTCATTCATTCATTCATTCATTAATTCATTCCATTCATTCATTTCATTCATTTCATTTCATTTCATTTCATTTCATTCATTTCATTTCATTTCATTTCGTTTCCTTTCATTTCCTTTCCTTTCCTTTCATTTCATTTCATTTCATTCATTCATTTCATTCATTCTTTCATTCATTCATTCTTTCATTCATTCATTCATTATTTCAATCAATTCAATCAATTCATTCAATTCATTGATTTCATTGATTTCATTCATTTCATTCATTTCATTCATTTCATTCATTTCATTCATTTCATTCATTCATTCATTCATTCATTTCATTTCATTTCATTTCATTTCATTTCATTCATTTCATTCATTTCATTCATTTCATTCATTTCATTCATTTCATTCATTTCATTCATTTCATTCATTTCATTCATTTCATTCATTTCAATCATTTCATTCATTTCATTCATTTCATTCATTTCATTCATTTCATTCATTTCATTCATTTCATTCATTTCATTCATTTCATTCATTTCATTCATTTCATTATTTCATTCATTTCATTCATTTCATTCATTTCATTCATTTCATTCATTTCATTCATTTCATTCATTTCATTCATTCATTCATTCATTCATTCATTCCATTTCATTTCATTTCATTCCATTTCATTTCATTCACTTCATTCACTTCATTCATTTCATTTCATTTCATTCATTTCATTCATTTCATTTCATTTCATTTAATTTCATTTCATTTCATTTCATTTCAATTCACTCATTCATTCATTCATTCATTCATTCATTCATTCATTCATTCATTCATTTCATTCATTTCATTCATTCATTCATTCATTCATTCATTCATTCATTTCATTCATTCATTCATTTCATTCATTTCATTCATTTCATTCATTCATTCATTCATTCATTCATTCCATTCATTCATTCATTCATTCATTTCATTTCATTTCATTTCATTCCATTTCATTCATTTCATTCATTCATTCATTCATTCATTCATTTCATTCATTCATTCATTTCATTTCATTCATTTCATTTCATTTCATTCATTTCATTCATTTCATTCATTCATTCATTCATTCATTTCATTCATTCATTTCATTCATTTTCATTCATTCATTCATTCATTCATTCATTTCATTCATTCATTCATTTCATTTCATTCATTTCATTTCATTTCATTCATTTCATTCATTTCATTCATTCATTCATTCATTCATTTCATTCATTCATTTCATTCATTCATTTCATTCATTCATCATCATCATCATCAAGAAGTAGCTGATCACATGACATTGTAACAAAACTGAAGGGACCGGAGCACTTTTGGAAGATGAGGTCGGCAAAAGGCGCACAAGACTGTAGCGAGAGCCAATTTCATATGTCAACCACATCATTGAAGTAGTTGATCACATAAAATGGTTTTAAAAAAATGTCAGGGCCGGAGCACTTTTGGGCGATGAGGTCGGTAAAAGGTGCGCGAGACTGTAGCGAGCTCGATTTCACAAGCAGTCATTCATTCCGTCCATCTATTCGTTCCTTCCTTCCTTCATTCCTTCTTTCATTCAGTCACTCATTCAGAGCAAAACCCGTACGCAACTCGTTCAATCCGTGCAGATGCAAGCGCCTCATTTTCTTGGCACCGTTCATTCATTCATTCCATTCCATTTCGTTTCCATTTCATTTCCATTCATTCATTCATTCATTCATTTCATTTCATTTCATTTCATTTCATTCATTTCATTCATTTCATTCATTTCATTCATTTCATTCATTTCATTCATTTCATTCATTTCATTCATTTCATTCATTTCATTCATTTCATTCATTTCATTCATTTCATTCATTTCATTCATTTCATTCATTTCTTTCATTTCATTCATTTCTTTCATTTCATTCATTTCATTCATTTCATTCATTTCATTCATTTCATTCATTTCATTCATTTCATTCATTTCATTCATTTCATTCATTTCATTCATTTCATTCATTTCATTCATTTCATTCATTTCATTCATTTCATTCATTTCATTCATTCCATTCATTTCATTCATTTCATTTCATTCATTCCATTCATTCCATTCATTCCATTCATTCCTTCATTCCTTCATTCCTTCATTCATTCATTCATTCATTCATTCAATTCATTCATTCCATTCCATTCCATTCCATTTCATTTCCATTTCATTTCCATTCATTCATTCATTCATTCATTCATTCATTCATTTCATTCATTCATTCATCCATCCATTCATTCATTCATTCATTCATTTCATTCATTCATTCATCATTTCATTTCATTTCATTTCATTCATTTCATTTCCTTTCCTTTCCTTTCCTTTCCTTTCATTTCATTCATTCATTCATTCATTCATTCCATTCATTCATTCATTCATTCATTCATTCATTCCAATCATTCATTCATTCATTCATTCATTCATTTCATTTCATTTCATTTCATTTCATTTCATTCATTTCATTTCATTTCATTTCGTTTCCTTTCATTTCCCTTCCTTTCATTTCATTTCATTTCATTCATTCATTTCATTCATTCTTTCATTCATTCATTCATTCATTATTTCATTCAATTCATTCAATTCATTCAATTCATTGATTTCATTGATTTCATTGATTTCATTCATTTCATTCATTTCATTCATTTCATTCATTTCATTCATTCATTCATTCATTCATTCCATTCATTCATTCATTCATTCATTCATTCATTCATTCATTCATTTCATTCATTTCAGTCATTCATTCATTCATTCATTCATTCATTCCATTTCATTTCATTTCATTTCATTCATTTCATTCATTTCATTCATTTCATTCATTTCATTCAT